TGAAAAGAGATCACCCTATACATGTGGTAATGTGCAAATATCACATATGAGGAAGTATGAATTATTACAGTCATTATTTAAACAACTAAGCATGTCAAATCAGTTGTCAGGTTTCAAAGAATCATAGCCTTCTTTCAAGAGGTCCCGCCATGTTTTAAGGAAACGTGCATTTTCCATACATTTGAAGGCAAGTTCTTCCACTTGAGCTGATACTGCAGATGTAGCTTCAAGAAGTTTGGTTAACGAAAATGCTGCCTGAAATTAAAGGAAAAAAAAATGGCAAACAAGTTTATTTTTAAAATTCTCATTTTATAAATAGTCTACAAATAGCTTAAAGCCTTGAATCTAATGCCCAAGTTATTTTCTTTAAAAGTAACATGTTTTCAAATTAAAACACTGGCTCTTTCAAGGAACTTAAAAAATTCTTTGACATTAAGTAAACTTTGAGGAAATATGTCTGCTAGAAAAATATCCAATATGTATGAGACATGACGAGTCAGTATTTTTGTTTTAATTGAAACTATACTGGAGTCTCACTGAGGTCAACAAGATGACTTGGACCTCTTGACACTACATACCAGAAGTATCTGAAGGACTTTATCATAACCAACTCTTACCGATATTTGGGTAACATGGGCATAGTTCCACTATTTTTACCTGCCAACACTTTAGAAAATGAAAATGTATAGCTAAAAGAACAGATACTCTCAGCTCTATCAAATAATATCAACAAAATCTCACACAAATGTAGAAAATATCCAGTTCTTGGTGGAAAATTCACTTTTTTAATCACATGTTTTCTTCACCTATGATATACAATAACATTATTCCTAGATAACACATCAGCACTTCATTTCTACATATGTACTTATAACCAGTCCTGTTCTGCAAAAATAAAAGCTGGATCAGCACCGTTAGTCATCTTTAAAAAAAAATAAATAAATACTTGAGCAATGAGATAATCAAGTTCATTCCTCGGTTTTCAATCTGCAAAGAAAGGTCTATTCCACAAAGCTCTCCCGAGAAAGGTTACACCCTACATACCTCATTCCACTTGACCCCCTCAGGAATCCATAAATACAGAAACTGTGACTGTGCCCCCGCACCCCTACCCCCCGCCTCCAGTGGTGTGTGAGTTAGGGATAGGGAGGTGGGGTGCTAGTTTCCAGGAATTCGAGATTTAACAGAAACCATCCAGACTAATTATGCATTCTAGCAACCACGGGAGGAGTCCTGCACGAAACCGTTAACGAGGCCAATCAGCCTAAGTCCTCCAAGCTGGGTCCAGTGAGAAGCACGCCTGAGGTAGACAATAGCAAATAGCATTATCAGCTGGCTCTGGGCAGGTGGCCAACTAGAACAGCAGCTCTAAGTCCCACGTAAAGAAATCGCAGCCTGATCCTAAGCACCAACAGGCAGCGAAGCAAACCCATGCAGTTAAAACCGTTCTCCGATAGGAGAGGAGGGGGCAGAGAGAACATGCACCAAGCGGCGCAGAACTGTGTGGTTTCGGGTTACTGGGGATGATTGAAACCAGAAGGGAAGACCCAAAAAACAGAAAAAAAGTGCGGAGTGGAGGGATAACCCCTTAATTCCTCAATACTAAGTCGACAGCAGAATCCTCGGGTGGGATGGCACTTTAGCGGCTGGCATCCTTCCCCATCCCGCCCACATCCTCAGTAGGCAGAAGGGTCAGTCGCAGGGCCGAGTGAGCGGACTCCCCGCCCCTCCCGGGCCCTGCAGCTGTCTGTCTTCCGAGAAGCGCCGGGAAGCGGTCACGGACCTGTCCGGCGACAAGACACTCACGTCTCCGATCTGCAGCTCCACTTCTTCCAGCGGGTCCACCGTCCGGCCGCTGCGCCTGCTCGGAACTGGCCAGCCCAAACTCACTGGGACGCCCGGCGAAGATGCTGAAGAAGTGTCTGAAGATGAAGGAGAAGACGGTGGCGGCGGGGGCGGCGAGGAAACCTGCAACTCCTCAGGGTCAGCCATGGGGACTAGCTAGGACGGCACAATCCGGTCAGAGCAGCAGAACCGATACCAACAGTCTTTTCAACCGCTCGCGCCCAAAGCCCAAAGGCCCCGCCTCCTACGGCCCGAAATCCCGCCCCATCTCCTCGTGGGTCTCACCCAAGACCACAAAGACTTTTCACTTTTAGGGACAGCCAATCAGATGTCAGTCATTTCAGCTTTCCGGAGCAAACCTCCAGCCGGGCTCGGAGGGCGCTTGCGCAGAAGACTACAACTCCCAGGATGCCATACGCGCCGCTCCGCCTTCCACGGCCTTTCACTGCGCGTGCGTTGTGCTACGGCATTCGTGGGCTCCTGTCGCCGCCCTCCGGCCTCCTCACCTCGCCTGGGCGCGCAGGGACTTGGACTCTCTTTTCCTTTTTGTGTTTGGTACATGACCCGGAAGCCTCTGCTGGCCGTCCGCGTCATGCATGGCGCCGGCGCAGAGCGAGAAGGAGGCGGGAACGCCGTGAAGCAAGAGAGGTCGGCTGAGCGGAGAGGCAACCTGCAGTGGAGGAGTTCTTGCTTCCCTGCCGGTGATGGCGCCCCCCGCTGTCTAGAGGTCTACCGCCCGCGGCGAGCAGCAGACAGTCCTCCTTCCGTTGTGTCCAACCAAGAGTTCTGGTGACTTTGAACATGTTGGTGCCGCTAGCCAAGCTGTCCTGCCCGGGTAAGAGGGAACTTCGGGTAGGGATAAGTGGAGGAAAGTGGAGGAGTTAGGGCGACATGGGCAGGGTCACACGTGGAGGCTGTAGGCACCTCTCCCCTTCCGCCTCTTATCTGCTTTCTGGGGCTGCAGTAGGGCAAAGGTCACGGTCTCCGCGCCTGTTGGTGGACCCTGGCTTCCTCACGCCTGGGTTGCCCCAATTGGAAGAATTAACATCTAGGCCAAAGGTCATGGGCGGAGAATACTTGTCAACAAGCACCCCTCAACCTCCCGTGGACTCCTGAACTGATTCTTCCCAAATCCCTTATCCCAAAGCCCAGGTGTTACCTATCGCCTTATTGCAAATGGAAAAAAATATTTGCAGTTTTTCTCCTTCATCCTGACCTGACTTTCGTCTTTGTAGCCATCCTAGTCGAGTAGTAAAGAATTTGAAGTCTGATCTGTCACATCATGATTAACATTCATATGCTGCCTAAATCACCAGATTATATATACAGCCAGGGATTTTTCTGCTTTGTCTAAAATTAACTCTAGGATCTTTATCGTGTTATGTGTATTCCTTGCGCCATCAGGATGATTGATGGAGTGGATGATGTTTTTAAAGGTTTACTTAAAAACAACAAAAAAATGTTTAAGTCAAACAGAAAAGTTTATTAAAAGATCTTGAATTCTGTCATAACTGGCTTAATTTTTTAAATCTTTAGTATAAGTCTAAGTTTTGGTTATAGAATCTTTAAGCAGTATAATACACATTGCAAATTCAAGGATGTTCTTATGTAAATTTCATGAAAGTAGAATTTTTTAAACTTGGCCGTCATCATTTTGTTTGTATTTTCTGTCACCCATGTGTCTATACACACCTAATGTGTAGATATGCTTTATGTTTTCTGGAACCTCAAAGTGGTTAGATGCTCTCTGCTCTACAGCCTAATTTGGATGCAATCAGGCTTGACCCGGGTGCTAACCAAATTCCACTACTGTTTCTGTTTACTTTGGATGTGAATTCTTTGCTTTTCATAGCTTAATGTTATGTTAGGACTACTGGCATCAAAGAGGTTGGACGCAAATGTGACTTTGGTATGGTGATGTTATGAGTTCAATGGACTTTGTGACCTCACTTCCCTACCTAGGTGCCTAAATGTTCACATCTCTAAAGTGAGAGATCAGATTTGTTTTCAGAAAAGGGGTAAAGGTTGTGACTTTTTTTTTTTTATTCCCTGTAGGAAATCAGACTACACAATTACAAATATTCTCAAGAGAATCAGTAGCCATGCAAGCAATACACATAAGAATGACGGTTTGTCATATTCCAATCATCAGTCTTCAGAAGTAAATAACTTCTATACACTGAACTACAATGCATTGGAAAAAGAAATATTCTTTTAAATATTGATAATAGTATATTTGAACTCTGGAACTGAGTTCTTCTCTAATATATTAACTTAGTTTCTGTACATTTTTTTTCAAAATTTAGGATAGGTAAATAGTAATCTAAGGCTTTAAAAGTATTCCTAATACTATAGTTTTTAATATGTGTTTGCTAGTAGAGAAAATTAGTTTCTTTGCTGCTTTTTTAGAGATTGATTATCAAAAACAGATTTTTTAAAAGAGTTCAACCACTCCAAATCTCTTCCTCTCCTGCATCCATCATAATCTTTAATGATTGTATGGTGCCAGGTTTTTACTTTAAAAAAAAAAAGCATTTTATTGGAAAGAATAAAACATCAAATAATATTAATTGTGCAGTTGAGTGCTAAAGAATAAGAATAATTAGCCTATGCCAGGCTGATTTTATTAAAACATCATCTCTCCATTTAATCAGAAAGAAAGAAAATTTGATTTTACCACAGTGAGCTTCTGTGACTTCAGAGATAATTTCAGATCAAATGATAGTCTCAGAGCTTTACAGAATATTTGAATATTTACAGAATTGAGGCTGAATTTAGCTAAGGATCATCTGAATTGCTTTTTACCTGCTGTAAATGGAGATTGTGGCTACCCCACATATCTCATAAAGTTCTGAAGAATAGGATATGCTATTAAAATACCCAATTCTTAATTGTTCAGTATGTTCATGAAAATGTAAATTGTGTTATATAGTCCAAATCCATGTGAAATTCTTTGTTAATTTTTACTATTTGTTACAGTCCATTTTTGGAAATTTGTTCATTTGCAGACAGATGCTTCATAATAAACAATTTAAAAGTTAGGAAAAGGCCTGATTAATATTGCTCTATACCAGAAGTTAAACCAGAGACAGGTTCCTAAATGACAGTTGAAATTTTAGCTAGGAAGAGTAACAAATACATATGGATGACTTGCTTTGTGTAAGACATATACTAGATTCTTAATTATAATGTCTACAAGACAAAGATTGACCATAAACTTTAGAGCTGAGGGGGTGAGAAGAGTAAAATAACTTAATGAAGGTTTCATTGCTATTAATAAATTCAAACACAAAGTAAACAGACTTCAAAGCCTGTCCTCTTAACCACACCTTTCCATATTGCCCTTTTTTGGTTTTGTTTTAAATTAATAAACTTTTTTTGGAGTAGTTTTAGGTTTAAAGAAAAATTCAGCAGAAAGTTCATAGTTTGCATACATTAATAGCTTCCTGCCCCCTGCCCCTTCCCTGTTATTAACATCTTGCATCTAATATTTGTTACAATTGATGAGGCAATATTGGTACATTATTATTAACTAAAGTACTCAATAGTTTACATTAGGGTTCACTCTTTGTGTTGTACATTCTGTAGGTTTCGACAAACGTATAATTACTTGAATCCACCATTAATTGCATATCATACAGAATAGTTTCATTGCTTTAAAAATCCCCTGTGCTCCATCTGTTCATTCCTTCCTCCCTTCTTCCAAATCTCTAGCAGCCACTAATCTTTTTACCAGCTCTTCTGCCTTTTCTAGAATGCCATATAGTTGGAATCATACAGTATCTAGCCTTTTCAGACTGGCTTCTTTAACTTAGTTGTATGCATTTAAGTTTCCTACATGTCTTTTTGTGGCTTGATAGCGCATTTCTTTTTAGCACTGAATAGTATTCTATTGTATGGATGTACCGCAGTTTATCCATTCACCTATTGTGGGACATCTTGGTTGTTTCCAAGTATTGATGATTATGCATAAAGTTGCTATAAACATTCATGTGCGTTTTTTGTGTGGACGTACATTTTTAACTCATTTGGGTAAATGCCAAGGAGTGCAATTGCTGGGTCATGTGATAAGACTATGTTCAGTTTTGTAAGAAACTGCCAGAGTGCTTATAAATGGCTGTACCATTTTGTTTTCTCTCTAGCAATGAATAAGAGTTTCTGTTGCTCCACATCCACAACTAGCATTTGATGTTCTGAGTTTTGCGCATTGTTGCTATTCTAATAGGTGTGTAGTGTAACTTGTTTTAATTTGCAGTTCCCTAATGACGTAAGATATTAGGCATTTTTTCGTAGGTATATTTTCCATCTGTATGTCTTCTCTGGTGAGGTATCTGTTCATATCTTTTGCCCATTTTCTTGATTGCTTGTTTTCTTATTGAGTTTTAGGAATTTTTAGTATATTTTGGATACCAGTCCTTTACCAGATATGTCTTTTACAAATATTTTCTCCTAGTCTGGCTTCTCTTTTCATTCTCTCATGTTGGCTTTTTAATTCCTCTGATTTTTAACTCTGCCTTGCTTTTTCACAGAGGATACTCAGAAAAGCATTAATCTTTTATAGTTCCTCGTGTCAATCATAATAAATGAGTACCTTAATAAAGGAGAGTATAAAGAGGACTATCTAATATTTAGTCAACAAATATTTATACCTACTATATAAGCTAACACTAGGATTTAGCATGCAACAAGGAAAAAGATACTTTAGGAGCATGCTATCTGCTGGGGAATACAGACAGCTAAATGAGACATTTATATTAATACCCTTTTTTGGTCATATAGATGTTTTAGATTTTTAGTCAAATGATTTTATGATTTTTTAGATTTTTATAATGTTAATACTTAGAAAAACCTTTCAAAATCCTAGATTCCCATGTTTCCCATGTAATATTTTTGGCCGGGCGCGGTAGCTCCCGCCTGTAATCCTAGAACTCTGGGAGGCCAAGGCGGGTGGATCGCTCAAGGTCAGGAGTTCGAGACCATGTAATATTTTTGTGGGTGTGAATGTAAATATTCTTTTTTTAAATAACAGCTTTATTGAGATACCATACAATTTATGCTCTTTAAAATGTACAATTCAGTGGTTTTTAGTATAGTCACAGGGTTGTGTTACCATCACTATATCTGTTTTAGAACATTTTTATCACCCCAAAAAGAAACCCCATGCACATTAACAGTCACTCCCAAACCCCTACAGCCTTAGGCAAAAACTAATCTACTGTCTGTCTCTATAGATTAGTCTATTCTGGATATTTCATATACCTGGAATCATATAACATGTCATCTTTTTGTGACTGGCTTCTTTCACACAGCACATTGTTTTCAAGGTTCATTTATGTTATAGCATGTATCAGTACTTAATTTCTTTTTATTGCTGAATAGTATGCCATTCTATGGATATATCATTTTTTGTTTATCCATTCATTGATGGACATTTAAGTTGTTTCCACTTTTTGGCTGTTATGAATACTGCAGCTGTGAACATTCTTATACAAGATTTTATGTGGAAATATGTTTTTATTTATCTTAGGTATATACCTAGGAATGGGTCATGCGAAAACTCTATGTTTAACCTTTTGAGGAACTGCCAGACTGTTTTCCAGAGAGACTGCATCATTTTGCGTTCCCACCAGCAGCATATAAGGGTTCCAGTTTTCCACATCCTCATCAACACTTACAGTCATCCTAGTGGATGTAAAATAATATCTCATTGTGGTTTTGATTTGCATGTACCCGATGGCTAATGATGTTAAGCATCTTTTCATGTGCTTATTGGCCATTTGTATATCTTCTTTACAGAAATGTCCATTCAGATCCTTTGCTTGCTTTTTAATTGGGTTATTTGTCTTTTTATTGTTAGATATAAGAGTTCTTTATATATTCTAGATGCAAGTTCCTTATTGGATAAATGATTTTCAAATATATTCTCCCATTCCATGGGATATCTTCACTTTCTTTATGATATCCTTTGAAGCACAAAAGATGTTATTATAATTTTAATGAAGTGCAGTTTAACTATTTTTTCTTTTGTTGCTTGTACTTTTGGTTGTCATATCAAAGAAACCATTGCTTAACTCAAAGTCACAAATTTATATCCATGTTTTTTCTAACAGTTTTATAGTTTTAGTTGTTACATTTAAATCTTTCATCTTTTTTGAATTAACTTTTATGTCACCATAATTTTTTTTAACTTTTTATCTTGAAATGATTTTAGACTTACAGATGAGTTGCCAAGATAGTACTTGGCATTCTCATATATGCTTTGCCAAGCTTAATGTCTTACATAACCGTGGGATAATTATCAAAACTAAGAAATTAACATTGATGAAATATTGTTAATTAAACTACAGACTTTATTTATATTTTCTTTTTCTGTTCCTGGATCCAATCCAGAGCACCACAGTGCTTTTAGTTGTCATGTCTCCTTAGTCTCCTTCAGGGAGACAGTTCGTCTTTTCTTGTCTCTCATGACCTTTACACTTCTGATGTGTACTAGTCAGGCATTTTGTAGACTGTGCCTCAATGTGAATTTGTCTGATGATTTCTCGTGATTAGACTGAGGTTAAAGATTTGGGGAAGATCAGATTAAAGATTTGGCTCATGTCTGTATTCACAGCACTTTGGGAAGCTAAGGCAGAAAGTTAGCTTGAGGTCAGGGGTTCAAGACCAGCTGGGGAAATATAGCAAGACCCCATTTCTATAAAAAAAATTTTTGATTAAAAAAAGAATTAGGGAATCTGTACCACAGAGGTGAAAAACTATTCTCATCACATCATATCAGGGAGTCAATATGTCTTACTTTTGGTAATGTTAAACTTAATCACTTAGTTAAAGTGGTGTCTGCCATATTACTGTAAAGTTAATATTTATTCTTTCCACAATCTACTGTCAAAAGCTAGTCAATAAGTCCAGCCCACTCTCAAAGAGAGGAGGGTCAAAGAATTTGTGGCTATCTTACCATAATCTTTTATACTTTGAGTTGCTCTGTTAACACCTTTGATCAAATGGAATTCATTTTGACAAAAGGAGCAAGGTATACTTTTTTCCAGATGGCTTTTCTAGCTATCTCTGCACCATTTAATGAGTAACCATCTCTTCCTCCTGATTTGAAATGGCATCTTTATCATATACCAAATCCCTATGTGCATTCTATTTCTGAGGTCTTTATTCTGTTCCTTTTATTATTCTAACCCTCCTTCTATAACAGATTTCTAATTATTATAGCTTCAAATATAAGTTTTTATATCTGCCAGGACTGGTTTTATAGGGGGATTCTCTGTTCTTTTTTTTATGATAGGAAGGATTATCAAGGAGAACAGAGACAGAGAAGGGAGTCAGAAATTGAAGATGCAGGAGGAAGGCAGGATATCAGATGGAGGAATGTCCCTAAGAAGATGAGAGAGATAAGTCTCATCATCCAGGCAGAAGAATTAAGAAGAAAAGTTGTCTCTTCTGTTGTAAACTGAAGGAATGAACACAGTATGGGTACAAATACAGATTACGTTGGAGGTAGTTAACAAAGAATTGAGAGAGTTCCCATCTAATTACTTCTGTCTTTATGAGGTTTGATGTGAGGGTATCTGCGCTGAGTAAGAGAAAGAGGAGGTGGAGTTGAAGGTTTGAGGACAACAGAGAAGGTTTAATGTACATTTTTGCAGATGAATCTTTGCACACTTCTATTTATTTCCATAAAATACTGTTTGCTGACTCAAAATATATACATTTTTAAGGATCTCAGAAGATACTATATGGGTAAATCAACTTACCTAAAAAAGAAGCTTTCCATAAAACCCAGTTTGCCCTTATGTTGACCCAACATAATTGTTAATACTCTTCCCCATTACTCTCAATAGTGTCTGGTGTAGATGACTAGTCATATGATCATTTTATCATAGTTTAAGCCTGACATGAGCTAAATTGAATAAATTTGTTTATTAGATGGTTTTAAAATATTTAAGATTTGAAAACATTGCTTGATGAGGAAAAGCTAACTGAATTGTTCATGTAGGAAATAGTACAGTCTATTTCAGTTTATATCCCTCATCAAGTATAATCATTCAGTTTATATGTTTTTTCAGTCTACTCCTAGGGAAAACTAAATGAAGAAAAAGATAATGCTCATATTTTTTGTGCAGCTTATCAGTGCTTTCATGCCTTAAAAATTAAGAAAAATTATCTACCTCTATGTGCTACAAGATGGTCTTCAACTTCTCCTGTACCTCGAATTACTACTCACTATACTATTTATCCCCGGGATAAGGACAAACGATGGGAAGGTAAGTAATTTGTGTAACACTTATGAGACTTTTCTAGATACTTTGTATCATTTTGTGGAGGAGAATATTATATTATTGATGATAGTTTAGAAGTATTTAATAATATTTTATGGCTTTACAAATATATATTGCTATATTCATGTACCACATACATTTCAGGCAGTGACAGACAGCATATATGACAGTGGTCCCATAGAGAGTGATGGAGCTGAAAAATTCCTATCACCTAGTGACATCTTCCAGAACATCATTTTCAAAATGTCATACTGCTATGCATTACTCACATGTTTGTGGTGATGCTGGTGTAAACAAACATGCTGCACTGACAATTGTATAAAAGTATAGCACATACAATTATATATGGTACATAATACTTGATAATAAACAACTATGTTGCTAGTTTATGTATTTACTATATTATACTTTTTATCAATATTTTAGAGTGTACTCCTTCTACTTATTAAAAAAAAAAGTTAACTGTAAAACAGCTCAGGCAAGTCCTTCAGGAGGTATTCCAGAAGAAGGCATTGTTATAATAGATAACTGCTCCTTGTAGACCTTCCAATGAGACAAGATGTGGAGGTCAAAGACCGTGATTATTCATGCTCCTGACCTTGTTTAGGCCTGGGCTAATGTGTGTGTTTGTGTCTTAGTTTTTAACAAAAATGTTTTAAAAAAAATTTTTTTTTTTTTTTTTTTGAGAAAGAGTCTCACTGTGTTGCCCGGGCTAGAGTGCCGTGGCATCATCCTAGCTCACAGCAACCTCAAACTCCTGGGCTCAAGCGATCCTACTGCCTCAGCCTCCTGAGTAGCTGGGACTGGAGGCATGCGCCACCATGCCCGGCTAATTTTTTCTATATATTTTTAGTTGTCCGATTAATTTCTTTCTATTTTTAGTAGAGACGGGGTCTCGCTCTTGCTCAGGCTGGTCTTGAACTCCTGAGCTCAAACGATCTGCCCGCCTCGGCCTCCCAAAGTGCTAGGATTACAGACGTGAGCCACCGCGCCCGGCCTAAAAAATTAAAAAAAAATTTCAATAGAAAAAATTTATAGGATAAGGATATAAAGAAAGAAAATATTTTTGTGCAGCTATACAATTTGTTTGTGTTTTAAGCCAAGTGTTATTACAAAAGATTCAAAAAGCCAAAAAAAGTAAAACATTTATAAAGTAAAAAAGTTACAGTAACCTAAAGCTAATTTATTATTGAAGAAAAAACATTTTTTTCATAAATCTAGTGTATTCTAAGTGTACAATGTTTATAAAATCTACAGTACTGTGCAATAATGTCCTAGGCCTTCACATTCACTCACCACTCAGCTTATTGATTCACCCAGAGCAAATTCTAGTCCTGCAAGCTCTGTTCATGGTTCCGTCCCTATATAGGTGTACATTTTTAAAAAAAAAAAAAAAAAACTTTTATACTGTAATTTTACTGTACCTTTTCTGTGTTCAGACATGTTAGATACACAAATACTTACCATTATGTTACAGCTGCCTAGAGTATTCAGTACAGTAACATGGTGTACAGGCTTGTAGCCTAGAAGCAATAGGCTATACCATATAGCCTAAGTATATGGTAGGCTGTACCATCTAGGTTTGCGTAAGTATACTCTGTGATGTCCACAAAAGGGCAAAATCACCTAACAATGCATTTCTCAGAATGTATCCTTGTGATTGAACGAAGCGTGACTGTGTGTATTTGGATAAGCAGATATTTGCTAAATTTATAATAAGTCTCAAAGCCAAAAGTTGGTTTATGGAAGCTAAAATAAAATACACACTGGAACAGAACCTAAGAGAATATCAAGTTAATACAATATATTGCTGCTTAGTATAATTATTCTGCAAAGCACAGGGGGAATTTCTATAAATAATTCTCTAAAGCAAAGCACAGGGGGAATTTCTATAAATAATTCTCTAAAGCATAGTGGATATTTTTAAACCAGCATGTGATTTACCATGTGATTATTGCGTCATATTAATCCTAGAATTTTTATTTAACATTTTTTCTCCCCAGGAGTGAACATGGAAAGGTTTGCAGAAGAAGCAGATGTAGTAATCGTAGGTGCAGGCCCTGCAGGGCTCTCTGCAGCTGTTCGTCTAAAGCAGTTGGCTGCTAAACATGAAAAAGACATCCGTGTGTGTCTAGTGGAGAAAGCTGCACAAATAGGAGCTCATACACTCTCAGGGGCTTGCCTTGATCCAAGTGCTTTTAAAGAACTCTTCCCAGACTGGAAGGAAAAGGGGGTATGAAAATTTGTATTTTATGTAAAGTCCAGTCTTTATTGTTTTCTCTATTTCCAAATTACTTGAAATAGGAAACCCTTTTCATGTAATTCTAAGGGAATATTTCTATTTTTTTAATTAAAAAGAACAAAATAAAGATTGAAGCATATCAGGTAAA